CAGCCTGCGCAACATGGCAAAATCCCATCTCTACAAAAAATACAAAAAATTAGCTGGACATGGTGGCAGGCTCCTGTGATCCCACCTACTCGGGAGGATGAGGCAGAAGAATTGCTTGAACCCGGGCAGCAAAGGTTGCAGTGAGCCAAAGCCAAGATCATGCGACTGCAGTCCAGCCTGGGCAACAAGAGTAAAAAGCTACTATAGTCAAAACACCCATGTCTTAAACCAGTATTCTTTTACCCCAGTGATCTAGCTCTAAAACTTCTAATGGAAACACTAATCAAAGAGTGCAGCTCATTACTGTTGATTCTAGCAATAAGACACAACCAAATAATTGAGGCACAAAAATATCTGAATAAGAAAGAGAAAAGCAAGCCGGTGTAGTGGCTCATGCCTGTAATCCTAGCACTTTGGGAGGCCGAGGTGGGTGGATCACCTGAAGTCAGGAGTTCAAGACCAGCCTGGCCATCATGGTGAAACCCCATCTTTAAAAAAATAAAAAAGAAAAAAGAAAAAGAAAGAGAAAACCAAAAGGGTGAAGACGAGGCCTGCTATCTGCAGTCTCATAGGCTTACTTACTGAAAAATTCTTCAGTACAATTTTTCTAAGTGTGGGTTGTACAGAAGACAATTTCAAGTTTTTCAAGACTTCTTGACTATTATAGTGTCTCATTTCCTTATTCCTATTAACTACCAAAGGCTCAACAGGAGAGGTAGCTTAGCTAAGAGGTCAGACATACTCCAACAGATTAATAATTTTAGGCCATTTCTACTCTGGAAATCTGAGTATGTCTTATATTTACAGGTAGTTTGATTTTGGTGGGAAATCGGGAAGGCAAATGATAAATTACAGAATTGTTCACATTTTTTATTCTGCTGAAAACAATGATGAGGGGGATCCTTTGAAACACAGGGAATCCACAAATTATTATAAAGACTGTCACAACAATATATACAGGTCAGGGAGTTGAAATTTTAAGAAACAGCTGGGAGCAGTGGCTCTTGCCTGCAATCCCAGCACTTTGGGAGGCAGAGGCAAGCAGATCACTTAAGGTCAGGAGTTCAAGACCAGCCTGCCTAGCCAACATAGCGAAACCCTGTCTCTACTAAAATAAAAATAAAAAATAGCCAGGCCTGGCAGTGGGTGCCTATAATCCCAGCTACTCAGCAGGCTGAGGTACAAGAATCACTTGATACTGGGAGGCAGAAGTTGCAGTGAGCCAAGATCCCACCACTGTACTCTAGCCTGGGTGACGCAGTAAGAATCCATCTCAAAAAAAAAAAAAAGAAAAATTTTAAGGAACTCTGAAGCTTTAGGTGTCCTTATTTGCAAAGGGAATATGGAGCTGTACAATTATTTTCATAACTAAGAAGTTACCAAAGAGAGTGGAATTTTGAATCAGAAAACCTGAGCCCCAGCTTTCTTGCCATCTAGGTGTGGGCCTTAGACAATCACTAAATAATACCTCTCCCTTTCATTAGGTTAATGTTTCATATAGTTTTTGGGAGAATCATAAGATAGAGTACATTTGAAAATGGTAAAGATCCAGTTATTATCAAATCAGGAAAACATTCATTGATTCAGCTTGCATTCATTGAGCAACTACTGTATATACGGTACTGATCCAGACCCTGCGTCTAAAATAAACATGACATTCAAACTGCCACAAAAGGTCATATGTTAATTCCCTTTATATCTTTTAGACAGTTTTGTTTTCGAAACAGGATCTCACTCTGTTGCCCAGGCTGAAGTGCAGTGGTGCAGTACAATGACAGCTCACTGCAACCTCTGCCTCCTGGCCTCAAGCAATCGTCCCAACTCAAGTCTCCCAAGTAGCTGGGACTACAAGCGGGCACCACTACGCCTGGCTAATTTTTGCATTTTTTGGTAGAGAGGGGGTTCACCTGGACAAAAACTAATTTTGTCCAGGCTGCTGGGGAGCTCCTGGGCTGAAGCAACTCTCAGCCTTCCAAAGTGCAAAGTGCTGGGATTACAGGAGTGAGCTACCACACCCAGCCTAGACAGGTTTTTAACCCTTTTCCTTTTTTTTTTTTTTTTTTTTGTTAACAATAAGGTTTAAAATAAGAAAGAAAATGATAGCATTTTCTTTATATCTATAAGGTTTTGTTACTGCTGGGGATAGAAAGCAGTTGGGCTAAGTTCCCTTGCCTGGCAAGAGAAGAAAGAAATTTCTTGTCCACCCCCTCTCTCATGCCTTTCTCCCCATTCTGCATTTACCACAAACATCTTGCTTTCTCGGGATATTTTCAAGAATTCTAGAAAGCTCATTTTCCTGGCTTTTCTACCAGGTGCTACAGCATCCAAAAAAAAAAAAAAAATCACTGTAATTCTCATAGATCCTTTTAGCAACACCTCTTTCCATCTCACTAGAGAAAGGATAAATTTCACTACTATGCTGTATGTCAGAAGTGCTTATCTTATTCTTATCAGCATGAAAATGAAGAAAACAGCTTATCTAACCTTTGTTTTTTTTTATTTTAAAGAGGGGTTTTCACCATGTTGGTCAGGCTGGTCTTGAACTCCCAACCTCAGGTGATCTGCCCACCTTGGCCTCCAAAACGCTTGGATTACAGGTGTGAGCCGCCACGCCCGGCCTATCTAACCTTAGATAAAAGAAATGTTCTACATTAAGAGTGATTTGCTTTATATTTATGATGTTTTACTTCCCTAATTCACCTGTCTTACCAGGAATTTAAAACATTCACATCACTTCTTTAAATAAACCAAAACCCCGACTAAAATTCATAGTTTAGAATACTTTCTCCCCCAGGCAAATAACTCCTACAGCTCAGCACCTTACATGTGTTATGTTAGAAAGGGAAAATATGCAAGCAATAAAGCTTCAAATACACATGTGAAGCTCTTCAAGCACGGAACTATGTCTTCCTGTCCTGATTTCCAACACAATATTTCAAAATACATATTAATGTTAGGCTAATTCTAAATGCTAAATACTACTACCCCGGGTATAATATAATACGCTAGATGAAAATCACATAAATAAATGCATATAACATAGAAACAATAAATGCGGTCCCATGTGGTGGTTCATGTCTTTAATCACAACACTTTGGGAGGCCGAGGCAGGCAGATCACCTGAGGCCAGGAGTTAGAGACCAGCCTGGCCAACATGGTGAAACCCTGTCTGTACTAAAAATACAAAAATTAGCCAGGTGGTGGTGCATGCCTGTAATCCCAGATACTCAGAAGAGACAGGAGAATCACTTGAACCTGGGAAGCAGAGGTGGCAGTAGGCGGAGATCACACAACTGCACTCCAGCCTGGGTGACAGAGTGAGGCTCCATCTCAAAAAAAAAAAAAGGCAGGCTAAATGCATATAAACCTAGGGAAAAAAAACGGTATCTTTACTTTTTAAAGCACAAAAGGATACTCATACAATTCCAATCTGGATGCTTTGGCCCTTGTGACATCTCACCCCTGGAGAATCCAAGAACCAGGAGATTAGCAGACACTCCTGGAATAAACTCCAAACTAGCATGAGTTCCTTTTCATGTCAAATGGTAAACACAACATAAATGAAAGGAGAAAAGGCAAAGTGGAGAAGGGAAAGAGAGAGGCCAAGATAGAGAAAAGCAAAATGGAAAAAGCACAAGGAAATGCAATCTTTCTATAAACAGGGGTGGGGGGGAGGAGGGAAGATACAGTATTTCCAACTTCCAAACTTCACAGCAAACTCATGCTCTTAGAACACACTCTTGCTGAAAGTAAGAGATCCTACTCAAAGAGGCTCGTAAATAGTGGGGCCTTAAGCCTTAGAAACAATAAAAGACAGACAACTATGGCACCAGGACTTGACTGGAGAGTAACCGCTGTTATTAAATAAGGGCACTTGACTTCAGCTTACCCTTCACCGTCTCCTCTCCTCCTCCGGGTATGGGACTTAAAGAGCCTGAAAAGACTAGAACTTCCGAATTTTAGAAAGATTTTTACTTCAGAAAGTCACTAAACTTAAGAGGTCTGGTAAGACCACCCTGACAGATTGCACCCTCCCACATCCACCAAAAAAACTCATCATCCGGCCCCTTCTTGCTTCTAGTCTCTTGGTCTCGATCTGATATTAATAGAAATGTTTGCCGAACGCCTGTTTTCTAAAAGCAACATATTTGTTCCATTACAATCTGCCGTAATCTGATGTGAGCGTGTCCGAGTTGGCCGCGTCCCAGGGCCAGGAGGCCGAGGGTTCTAGCACCGACCTCCTCAGTCCAGCCGACGTGCCCCGTTTCGGGAAGGCCCCCCTAAAACACACGGCCACGGCTGGCGAAACCGGCACAAGTTCCCTTCCCATCCTTTCCCAACTCGTGCTTCCCACGGCGTGCTGCCTCCAAAAAAGGAAGAAACCGGCCGAAAGGTTAGCTGTCGCCGGTCAGTACCGGAGCCTGTTTGCAAAACATCTGGGCACCAAAAAACCTAGCTTTACAGAAAACGCACAACCCTGAGTCCCGCAACCGAGATTTAGTGAGCGCCTACTGTGTCAAGGCCCGCGGTGCCCTCGGACACCCACCCTACCGGGGCGTCCGGGCAAGGAAGGAGGGAGCCAGGTCACCCGGCCACCCCTAGATATCACACGTTGCCCCCAGCCACTCCGGGGGCCACAGGCCAGTGAGTAGACTAACAGGAAGGACAGGCGCGCGGACCCGACTGTTGACCCAGCGGGGACGCGAAGAGGAAAGACGAGGAGTGACCCTGGGACGCCTCCTGGCTCCGGGACTGCTCCCCGCAGGCGGCGGCCCGAGGCCGGGCTGCAGAGGCCATCTGGCGCGGAAGGCAGGAGCCGGCCCTCAGCCTCCCCGCCCTTCCTCCGCCTTCCCTCGCCCACAGCACAAACTCCAGGCACGTTGCCGGGATCAGAAAACGCAGAGGCCACTTCTCCGCCCGCTCCTACTTCCCGGCGAGCATCCCCCGCGCGCCCCGCAGAGACACGTGGAGTCTGGGGGCGCCCGCCGCGCGCCACTCACTTGTTGGCCGGAGCGGGGCTTGCCCTGGGGCGCTCTCCTGAAGAAAGAGGTCCTGGCGGTGAAGAAGAAGTCCTCGGCGTCCTCCTCCAGGCTGCTGTAGCCGCTGCTCATGCTGCCGGTCCCGTAGCGCGCGGGCGGCCTCCCCGGGGCGCAGGCGGCAAGGCAGGGGGTGCCGCGCCCGCCCGCCGCGCGAGGTTCCCGGCGCGCGGTCCCGGGCCGTCCTGCTGCAGCTGCGGCCGCCGCTCAACCGGGCTGCCCGGCCCCTCCTGCCGCCTCCACGCCGGGCTCCAGGCGCTGCCCGGCCGCGGTGCGCCCGCAACCCCGCCTCCCCGGGCCCCGCCCCGGACGGGTGGCCGGTCGAGCTCCTCCCCGTGCGGCCCCGACGCTCCCCGCCCGGCCGCAGGTGGGGGCAACCCGGGCCCTCCCTTTCCAGGCGCGCGGGTTTCTCCCAGCAGCTTCGCGGAACCCGGAAAGCGGGGCGCGAGGGCTGCGTCTCGTGGGGCTCTGCTCTGGTCGCTTCCTCAACCTCCCGGAAACTGCAAATTCCTCGGCGAGCGGCCCGCCCGCCCCCAGCCCCCAGCCCCCAGCCCCCAGCCCCGCTAGCACGAGTTTCGGAGAGGGCGGGGGCAGAGAGGGGAACTTTCTCGCTGTCCACACCCCGCTCGCCCCCTCCCAGGGTTCTTTGGGAATGGGTGGGGGTTGCCTGGCCGGGGAGGGGGGGGCCCTGGCCGGGGGGGCCCCCGAGGGTTGCCTGGCCGGGGGGGCCCTCAGGTTCCAAGGCTTCCTGCAGCCGCAACGCCCCGCCCTGAACCCCAACAGCTCGCCTCTCCTGGAGGATTTCAAGTTAACAGAGATGGGTGGGGAAATTAACAACGGGGTTGAGTTTATTCGAATGAAAACATCCTTTCTGGTCATTCATTTGAGCTTCCGTCTTACCCTTTTGCCCTTTTTTCTAGCTAGGGCTCACTTCCAAATAAGATCGTTATCTTAGGCGCACTCAGTGCAACTGAAGGGTGAACTAGTTCTATAGTTACCGAGCAATCGAGTGCTTACTAATTAAATGTGCTTTGTAAAATCCCAGCCATGGTCAGCCTTGTACGGTCACCCACAAGGCATGGTTTAAGTGGTGGGGATAAGGAGATCAGGGAATTCTATTCACCCACGTACAAAAAAGAAAGTTTCCATGTTTTCTAAATTCCTTCCCGTCAGCTAATCCTCTTTTAAAAGCCACCTGTGGGTAACGGCCTTTTACACCTTGGTGTTATTGCACTGATTTAAATCATACTACTTTCAAATCTTGACTGAAAGATTCTTTTGAAGATGCAAGCCCTGCTATGGTTAGTGAGCTTCAGAAGAGGTTTCATTAGAAGGGGAAGAGAGACGTTAGAAAAGAGAAAATGTCCACTCATTATAGTCAAACTAGCCAAACCGTCTTACATTTTCTCCTGCAATCCTCCGAGCAACTCTGTAAGGTAGGTAGTACTATTTTATGCCGGTGTTAGCCCTAGAGCAGCAGCTGAGACTTAAAGAGAGGAAAGTAGCTGCAGGTGGCCGGACTCAGACCGTTCTGTTCTGCGTTCTGTTGATCTGAACATGGTCACATACCCTACAAGGTTCTCTGCTTGGTCCGGGTCAGCCATGCTCTTTTGTGGACTACAGGAAGAAGAATTGGACCAGAAAATGACGGGGAGAGAAAAATTGGCTCATGAGTCATCCTTCTGTCCCCAGGCTGAAAGAAGGCTTCCAAACCTGCTCCACCTTCAGGCTCACACATCCAGCTTGTAAAATAGTTTATTACCCCCACGTGATTCACAACAACTCCAGAAGGCGGGTTCTTTGAGTTACAGCCCATTTTAAAGGTCCCACAACATTAAAGCCGTCTTCTCAGCCACACAGCTACTGAATGATAGGAAGCCAGGAGTTCTAACTCCATATAGTTTCACCCAGCTTAAGTGGATCCCTCTGTGTGCCATACACATACATAATGTAGGAGAATAGGTCTTTACGACAAATTTTTCTCATTTGGTTTCTCTTATCTCATTATACAGACATAATATTTTATTAGAGCAGCTCTTAATATTCTAATTTAAGAGTAATGTGTAGGTTAAGGAATCAAATTATTCATTTTATTGTGGGTAGAAAGGGGAAAATAAGGCCGGGCACGGTGGCTCAAGCCTGTAATCCCAGCACTTTGGGAGGCCGAGGCGGGTGGATCACGAGGTCAAGAGATCGAGACCATCCTGGTCAACATGGTGAAACCCCGTCTCTACTAAAAATACAAAAAATTAGCTGGGCATGGTGGCGCGTGCCTGTAATCCCAGCTACTCAGGAGGCTGAGGCAGGAGAATTGCCTGAACCCAGGAGGCGGAGGTTGCGGTGAGCCGAGATCGCGCCATTGCACTCCAGCCTGGGTAACAAGAGCGAAACTCCGTCTCAAAAAAAAAAAAGGAAGGGGAAAATAATTGTACCCAGAACAAATTGAAGTTTATGAATACTTTGAGGAAAAATGCGTTCAAAATGCTTTATTGGCCGGGCGCGGTGGCTCATGCCTGTAGTCCCAGCACTTTGGGAGGCCGATGCAGGTGGATAAAGTGAGGAGTTCGAGACCAGCTTGGCCAAGGTGGTGAAACCCCGTCTCTACTAAAAATACAAAAATTAGCTGGGCATAGTAGTGCACACCTGTAATCCCAGCTACTCGGGAGGCTGAGGCAGGAGAATTGCTTGAACCCGGAGGGGTGGAGGTTGCAGTGAGCCGAGATGGCACCATTGCACTCCAGCCTGGGCGACAAGAGTAAAACTTCGTCTCAATCATTCAATCAATAAAATGCTTTATGATGCACCACACCATAAAAATTATCTTTTTAATTGTATTATTTTTAAGCTCCAAAGGACTGAAATAATTTGTCTGTCAGCATACCATCAGAAGCAGTTATAATAAAAAGGCATGATTGAGTGGGACACAGGGAGCGGTGGCCGGGGGAAGCTGAGGGGGAGGATCACTTGAACTCAAGAGTTCCTGTCCAGCGTGATGAACACAGCGAGACCTATTCTCTAAAAAATTGAATCTTTTTTTATCTAAAAAAGGCGTGATTAGGCTGGGCATGGTGGTTTACACCTGTAATCCTAGCACTTTGGAAGGCCGAGTAGGGGATTGCTTGAAGCCAGGAATTCAAGACCAGCCTGGGTAACAAAATGAGACCCTGTCTCTATAAAAACCAAAACCAGGGCCGGGCGCGGCGGCTCAAGCCTGTAATCCCAGCACTTTGGGAGGCCGAGGCGGGTGGATCACGAGGTCGAGAGATCGAGACCATCCTGGTCAACATGGTGAAACCCCGTCTCTACTAAAAATACAAAAAAGTAGCTGGGCATGGTGGCTCTTGCCTGTAATCCCAGCTACTCAGGAGGCTGAGGCAGGAGAATTGCTTGAACCCAGGAGGCGGGGGTTGCGGTGAGCCGAGATCGTGCCATTGCACTCCAGCCTGGGTAACAAGAGCGAAACTCCATCTCAAAAAAAAAAAAAAAAGAATTAAAAAACCAAAACCAAAAAAAATTAGCCAACATGGTGTCACATGCCAGTGGTCGCAGCTATTTAGGAGGTTAGGTGGGAGGATCACTTAAGCCCAGAAGTTTGAGGCAATAATGAACTATGATCTCACCACTGCATTCCAGCCTGGGTAACAGAGTAAGAGTCTCTCTTTCTCTCCAAAAAAAAAAAAAAAAAAAAAAAAAAAAGCAATGATCAAATAATGAAATAGAAGCACTTCTTTTAAACAACAAAAACCAAAAAATAATAATAAAGGGAAGGACCAGGCAAGGTGGCTCATGCCTGTAACCCTGGCCCTTTGGGAGGCTAAGGCTGGCAGATCACTTGAGGTCAAGAGTACAATCCAGCCCGACCAACGTGGTGAAAACCCATCTCTACTAAAAACATTAAAAAATTAGCCAGGCATGGTGGCACATGCCTGTAGTCCCAGCTACTCAGGAGGCTGAGGCAGGAGAATCACTTGAACCTGGGAGGAAGAGATTGCAGTGAGCTGAGATGATGCCACTGCACTCCATCCTGGGTGACAGAGGGAGATTCCATCTCAAAAAAATGGAAGGAAGGAAGGAAAGGAGGGAGGGAGGGAGGAAGGGAAGAATTGTCATTTGTTTTCTGAAAGCAAAATAATAATATTTCTATATTTTTCTGGTAGTATTTTTTTTTTTTTGAGACAGGGTCTCACTTTGTTGCCCAGGCTGGAGTGTAGTGGTGTCATGTTGGCTCACTGCAACCTCAACCTCCCAAGCTCAAGCAATTCTCCCACCTCAGCTTCCCCAGTAGCTGGGACTATAGGCATGTGCCACCAGGCCTGGCTAATATTTACTTTTTTTTTTTTTTTTTTTTTTGTAGAGACAAGATCTTACTCTGTTGCCCAGGCTGGTCTTCATGAAGTCCTGGGCTAAAGTGATCCTCCCACCTTGGCCTCCAAAAGGGCTGGGATAACAGATATGAACCACCACATCTAACCCAATAGCATTTTTAATTAAAATATTATAAATTTGGCCGGGCACAGTGGCTCAAGCCTGTAATCCCAGCACTTTGGGAGGCCGAGGTGGGTGGATCACGAGGTCAAGAGATCAAGACCATCCTGGTCAACATGGTGAAACCCCATCTCTACCAAAAATACAAAAAATTAGCTGGGCATGGTGGCATGTGCCTGTAATCCCAGCTACTCAGGAGGCTGAGGCAGGAGAATTGCCTGAACCCAGGAGGCAGAGGTTGCGGTGAGCCAAGACCGCGCCATTGCACTCCAGCCTGGGTAACAAGAGCGAAACTCCGTCTCAAAAAAAAAAAAAAAAAAAAAAAAAAATTCAGAATGTAATGTTAAGCAACTAGACATTTTTAACATTTCAAATACAGGGAAGGGGGTGAAATAAATAAAACTAAATGTATTCAACCAAGTTCAAGTTTTTTTTGTTTTGTTGTTGTTGTTGTTGTTTGGTGTTTTTTGTTTTGTTTTGAGAGGCAGTGTCACTCTGTCGCCCAGGCAGGAGTTCAGTGGTGGGATCTCAGCTCACTGCAACCTCTGCCTCCCATGTTTAAGTGATTCTGCCTCCTCAGCCTCCCAAGTGGCTGGGATTATAGGCATGCACCACCACACCTGGCCAATTTTTGTATTTTTTTTTTTTTTTTTTTTGAGACGGAGTTTCGCTCTTGCTACCCAGGCTGGAGTGCAATGGCGCGATCTGGGCTCACCGCAATCTCCGCCTCCTGGGTTCAGGCAATTCTCCTGCCTCAGCCTCCTGAGTAGCTGGGATTATAGGCACGCGCCACCATGCCCAGCT